ATTACTAAATAAAAATATTAAACAAAATAAGAAAAATTACTATTGTAATATTTCACTGTAAAATGAAAAAAAAAAGAGTATTTCAGAAAAATATAATAATAATAATGACAATAGTATTTTTGTTTTACAGTACACTAAGCAATATTGTGATTTTGGTTTTATTTTGATTAATCGTGCAGCCCTATTTTGAGGTTATAGCTACTGGATACATAAAAAAACAATAGCAATCCTTTTTATTTGTCTTGCCACAACTTTCTGTTTTAATAGGAAATACATCAGTTGAGCAAAGAAAAATATATTTGCCAAACCTTTTCATGGAGTTTTTGATATTAAGGATGGGTTCAGGACAATATGACTGAATGCAATTCTGCTCCAGAACCATAAATGGATGTTGAATAAGGAATATGACCTCATGTAAATAACATTTTGCTATGTCCTACTAATCACAAAAATCACAGCTGATGAAATGAGATCTCAGAATGAGAACAAAGAAACACAACTGTCTACCTTAACCACCATGGCTGCATAGGTGACATCTGCTCTCCAGGTGAGTGGTTTGTTCCAGCCAACCAATGGATCTGCTTCGTCATTGTAGATCGGCACAGAACAAAACTGTGGAAACCTCTGCTGGATCTCCCGCACAGTGGCCACTTCCTGCTGCAGGATGGGTAACGAGCTGCCACCTCCCTGAAATGCAAATACATACATACTACAACAATCAAAATTAATTATTCCTTCATTTATGTGTGAAACATATGGAAGCTTGTGTCTGCCACAGAATTAAATAAAATGTAATGACTTGATATCTAACAGTTCTTTTTATCACATTGTTTCCCTTGCAATTCTTAGTTTATTTCTCACTTTTTTTTTTAAAATTGTGAGATATAAACTCAATCAGAATTACAAGATCAAAATTCAGAATTATGAGGAAAAAAGTCAGAACTACAAGATATAAACACAGAATTGAGAGATATAAACTCAGAATTCTTGTGAAATATTGTGAAATATAAACGGAATTGCAAGATATAAACTCATAAGTATGAGATCTAAACTGAAGTATGAGAAAAGGTCGAGATATAAATACAGAATTATTTATACAGAATTGCGAGAAATAAATACAGAATTTGGAGATATAAACAGAATTACAAATTATAAACTCAGATTTGTGAAATATAAAATACATTGCGAAATATAAGCTCAACTAGTGCTGGGCGGTATACTGGTTCATACCGAATACCGGTGTTTTTGTTATGAATGATATGAATTTTTAAATACCGCAATACGGTATTATAAAAAAGTATGTCGCTTAAAGGGGTCATATGATGCTATTTTAAAGATCATTATTTTGTGTATTTGGTGTAACAGAACATGTTGACTTGCTTTAATGTTCAAAAAACACATTATTTTTCATTGTGAGATATAAATTTAGAATTGTGAGATATAAATTTAGAATTGTGATATAAACTCAGAATTGTGAGATATAAACTCACATGTGAGATATAAACTCACATGTGAGATATAAATTTAGAATTGTGAGGTTATAAACTCAGAATTGTGAGATATAAACTCACATGCAAGATATAAATGTAGAATTGTGAGATATAAACTCACATGTGAGATATAAATTTGGAATTGTGAGATATAAACTCAGAATTGTGAGATATAAACTCACATGTGAGATATACATTTAGAATTGTGAGATATAAACTCAGAATTGTGAGATATAAATTTAAAAATACAAAATATAAACTCAGAATTGCAAGATATAAACTCAATTGCAAGATATAAATTCAGAATTCTGAGAAAAAGTTCAGAATTGCGTGACATAAAGCCACAATTGTAAAATATAAATTAGCAATTCGGGGAAGAAGCTGCCATTACCTCTAATTTTTTTATTCCATCTAGGTCAGGACTCAATTACATGTGATATATTTGCATTTTATTATCACTATAACCCTCATGCACCTTCTTGTGTAGGGCGATGTAGTCTAGCCGTACGCCGGTCTCTCCAGTGAAGTAGTTTGTGCCGTTGTAACAGTGCTGTAGCATCTCCCAGCAGTACGGCGAGCGGGGCGGAGAATGACAGGAGTCTCCCGGACCCCCGAACTTCAAGAGTGGACTCGCTGTACGAAGGCCCTCAGAGCAGGCATCATAATAGTTCATGAACCCTGGAGGAGTGGAGACAGAAAAATACACATTCACAACATTGAGGCTGGTGGATTGCCCTCAGCAGAACTAATTCTTCCATGTGGTAACATGAAATTAAAACTTGTCAGACACTTTCTTGTTTTGTCCACACCACGAAAGGCGTGTTTGAGAACACCATGTGCAGGAATACAACACAAACACATGGCATCTGCCAGCAACACAAGCACTACTATACAAATGCCAACATTTTCACAGATGGACACACAGTTATTAAAACAGGTTGTGTGGTTGTCTTCATCCAATCAATTTTATTGACCTCATAAATATGCAAATTAGAATTCAAAACTAGCTACTACACTACCAGTCAGGAAGATTTTTCTGAGCGAAATACTTTTATTCAGCAAGGATGCATTAAACTGACCAAAAGTAACAGTAAAGACATGTTATAGAATCTACTAGACAGTAATAGAATGTTACAAAAGATGTCTATTTCAAATACATGCTGTTCTTTTGAACTTTCTATTCAATGTATTTTTAAAAAAAATTATTATGGTTTCCACAAGAATATTAAGCAGCACAACTAGTTTCAACACTGATAATAATAAAAAATGTTTCTTGAGCAGCAAATCAGCATATTAGAATGATTTCTGAAGGATCATGTGACACTGAAGACTGGAGTAATGATGCAGAAAATTCAGCTTTGCATCACAGCAATCAAATACATTTTACAGTATACTGTATACAAATAAAAAATAGTTTTTTTAAATTTGCAATAATATTTCACAGTATTGTTTTAACTGTATTTTTGATCAAATAAATGCAAACTTCACATTTAACACTTCCACAAACCTTCATATATACATGTGTTTGCCCAACATACAGACATAAACATGGACCCTAGTTCAGTTAGGTGCAAATGAATTACATATGTCTATTTCATCCCTCAGCATGGTACAATAAAATTGTTGACTTCTATTTAACATATGAACATAAAAAATATAGCTGCAATTACAGGGCCTGAGTTTGTGGTGCCCGCATGTCACGGTCCCATGGGGTCTCAAGACACTTTTCAAAAGTTGGACAACTTGGACTATTATTAACTTGAGATGGCATCTTAAAAATGCAGCACTCGTGACAGGATGTATCAAAACTAAAATAAAAATATAAGAAAAATATATAGTTGGTTGGTCAGTTTTACATTTTTATTTATGCATGTAGCAGATGCTTTTATCTAAAGTGACTTACAAAAGAGGAACAGAAGCAATTTCTCAAGGAAGGTTTTCTAAATTTGAAACAGTAGGTTTAGAAAAAATTTAATTGTCAGAAAATATTGGTACAATTAATTCAGCACGATCCAAAGAATCTAGGAATATTTAGTTTTTAGTCCATTTGGATCAAAACTTATAAACAGAAACTTACCGTAAGATCAACAGTTGAGCTGTTGGTGGTGCTGGATGGTTTGAGATCACTAATAAAATCAATTCAAATTGATTGAGAAAGATTGACAGGACTTTGGCTCAGACAACAACAAATAGTTTTTAGACTGTACCTTGGATTGACACAGTGATGTTGTCAAAGTCGTGGTTGTTCGGCTCATTCCACGTCTCGAAGTTCCACTGAGAGACAAAGCCGAGGCCGTATTTCCCTGCACACACATACAAAACAACAGGAACAAATACAGTCAGAACTTCTGGAGCTTTGTGGTAAAGATCTGGACTAGTAAACAAAATGTTCAAAATCCACAAGAGGTGATTCATGATCTATCACAATCTAAGATATCACGACCTCAGTCTCATACTCACATATGTATCTTTTGGCGATCAAAAAGACCAAATTCCTCCATTCAGTAACTTGTCTTTTGTCCTCAAAGTTGCTAAAGGTGTTGGACACGCTACCCATCAGTTCAAACCCTTTAAAAAGAACCAATCCTCTTTAACACAATGCAAATTTGTGTTAAATTAACCCTAGTGGCAGAGCCCTAATTCTACATTTCACAAGCATTCAAATGTGGATTTTGCTGTAATATTTAGAAAATTACCCGGCTGCAGTCCATTTTGCCAGAGGAGGTCAATCAGCTGGTCTAAGTGAGTGAAGTTGTAGTGATATTCTCCACTGTAAACTCTACACAAAATTCAGAGACAAAATCTTACAGTGCACTACTTCTAGTTAACATGGAGATGAAAGTGTAACAGTGATGCATGAAGAATAGCCAAAATAAGAGACATAAATAATGCATTTAATTAAAGATTATTTGTTAATGCACAAAAAAATGTATGTGCATAATGTTTGCATTTTATGTATTATGCATACTACATAACTATAGTATAGCATATATGCGTAACTACAGTATAGTTTACATGGAGATGAAAGTGTAACATTGATGCATGAAGAATCAGCAGACAATATAAAAGATGTATTTAATATTAAGTCTAGATATAGACCTAAGTCTAGATATGATATTAAGAAAGATGAAGGAAACGTACTAAGAAAACGTAATCTTATACGTAATCTTTACAAAATCGTAATCTTAAATAGCACTGCAAAGTCACACAACAATCACAGATTTTTACATAGATAGATGTAAATGCATATTAATATCAGTATTAATATCTGCATATTAGAATGATTTCTGAAGGATCATGTGACACTGAAGACTGGAGTGATGGCTTCTGAAAATTCAGCTTTGCATCACAGGAATACATTACATTTTAAAATATATTCAATAGAAAACAGTTATTTTAAATTATAATATTATTCCACAATATTACTGTTTTACTGTATTTTTGGTCATATAAATGCAGCCATGGTCAGCATTAGAAACTTCTTTAAAAAACACACACACATGCAACACATGCTCTTGGAAATAATATCTTATGGAAATAGCACTGCTTACTTGCAATGTTAAACCACAATCAAAGAAAAACAGAGAGATGCATATGCATATTGATATGAATCTTGATATTTGCATATTAACATGTGCAAAGTATATTTTAATATTTCACATTTACCAAATAGAAGAAGAGAAAGTGTGACTGTGGTAATATGGTGTAACTCAGTGTTTCCCATTCAAATGATCATATCGAAGTTAGAAATTCAAATATTGTGACAAAATTAATTTTGTAGGGTGCCACAAGTTTGTTAAAATTTCCAAAGGGTGCCGCGACTAAAAAAAGGTTGGGAAACACTGGTGTAACTGACCGTGCGGACACCAGCTCCAGCATCCAGTGTATCCGCACCTGCTGGATTCCTCTGTGCGGCACAGAGCCGATCAAAGCCAGATTCATCTGCTGGTCTGGACTGAGATCATACAGGTGTGCATCAGTGTGTGGCTGTGGAGGGCTGCAAAAACAAGAGACAATAGTTAATTGAGTGCTTAGTGATTTTTACCCACTAAAACAATTACACAGACAAGGTTTTCCTGAAATGCTTGCAGATGTCACTAACAAAAGAGTGCCAGAGGCCCCCGGCTCAAATTTTTTCTGAAGAAAGATAAACATGCATAGTGATGAAAGCCAAAATATTAAATGTCACAGATGTATATTTACTGAGTAATCCACTATTTTGTAGAGGGTGGTCAAAATGGCAGTTTTCACCTGAGATACAGAGCCATATCACACAGGGGGTTAAAAATGACTTCAGAAAGGTGCCAGCATCATGAGGTTATTTTTACATAGAGATTGGCATGTCTGTTAGCAAAATCTGTTGACTTTAGCAATCTTTGTTGCATTATGTGCCAATGGTGACCACTCAAAAATGGGGAAAGAGCACTTTTCAAGTTTTTTCTCCAAAGTTTGCATGCCTGTAACTTAAGAAGTATTAAAGATATCTTAATGCTCTTTTTTATATTGGGTCTTAACAAACTTTCCTTTTGACATCTTCATTTGGTTCACTTCCAGAGATATTGGAATTTCAATATTGCTCCAGCAGTCAATTGTTAAATTGTGCATATTTTCAATGGTCAACAACCAAATGTGGATCACTTTGCATAAATATGATACTTCTTTTCTTTTAAAGAGGAATGTCTGAAGAACAAACTAAGTTGAAATTAAAAATGTATCTCGTTTCCTTCTGTCAAAATAACTGCATTTAACATGCCTGTCTGAGTGCCATAAGTATTATTTTTCCAAAGTTTGCATGCCTATAACTAAAGAAGTATAGCCGGGGCGAAATCATGACGTCATGATTTTAGTACTGAAGTTTCAGGGTTGCCAGGATATTTAAAAAAGAAACGCCCAATTGCTACTAAAAACTACCGCTGGAAAACCGCGGACTTGGCAACACTGCGAAGTTGCGCAGGCGCTGTGAGAGGGAAACAGGGAAACTGAATTCACCGGAACACCGGTTTGAACGATTACGTAATTGTGGCATCCATAATTGTAATCGCGATTATAACTTCGATTAATTGTGCAGCCCTAGTTCTTAATAAACTTTTCTTTTGGGCTTTATTTTCAAGGTTCTACAACTGTAGTACATGTGTATAACTACACTATGGTATTCTTTACTTTGGAGTATCATGTAAACACTGCGACATATGAATATGTAATCAAGCTTCATTCCCTTAAAACAGTACCATGATACAGTGATTATATCAGACGGTAACGCCATGGTAATGAAATTCACATACCATGGTATTTACATGCACTTCCAATGATGAAATGGTTTCGTAGGTATCTAAAAAACGATAGTAGTACCATGGTATTATACTCACTGTACCATGGTACTGAGTAAGGGGTCGTTTACAACATTACAGTTTTATCCTACCAGAATCCAGTGCTTCTCCAAAAGTGCTTCAGGTTTCGTAGTTGCTTGTCAACATTCACTTGAACCTCCACAGATGAAGATATAACAGACTGCTGCTGTTTTATCACCAGGACTGATAGAAATAGCGTCCATGTGAATGAACTGTGTTTACATCTATACAAACACTCGCGTTCACTGTACATGACTTACAGTTTCACTTAACTACATAGATATATTATCTAATGTTTCGAGTTCCAGAAATCGTGTTCAGTGCCATTAAAACACATTTTGCCCAACTTCTGTGTTCATAAATTGTATCTGCGCTCTTCAGAAAAGTTGGGGCCCTGACGTCATTGACTGGCGACTTGAGTTTCTAACAGCTGAATGTCGCGGCCTACTGGTTTCAATGTGTAATGATTAAAGGGATAGTTCACCCAAAAATGAAAATTCTGTCATCATTTACTCACCCTCATGTCGTTCCAAACCTGTATGAGTTGCTTCACTCTGACTGAAAAACTTTTAGTGCTTTTCTATAGTATTAAGCCTCAAATACATCGGATTGGTTTCTTCTTTAAATTATAAAAAAAGTAAAAATATAAATGGTATTATAGTGTTATACTAAAACTAAAATTAAAACCATTGAAAAACCCTTAAGATAACATGTTGAAAAAAAAAAAAGCATCTGGTGATTTCAAATATCAACATTGGCTACCAGAAATCACTTACTCTGCCTTTAAGCACAGAATAACAAATGTGGACTTTGAATGATTAAGTGCTACTATGGAAGTCAATGGCAACCACCAACTGTTTGATTACCAGCAATCTTCAGAATATCTTCTTTTGTGTTCAACATAAGAAAGCAACTCATACAGGTTTGGAACGACATGAGGGTGAGTAAATGATGACAGAATTTTCATTTTTGGGTGAACTATCCCTTTAAGTGCAATAAAAAGTACGCTTTTCACATTTACCGTCTCTTTTTACTCATTTTTGTCCATTTAAATTTACTTGCAAAGCCATTTTTACAGAACCGATAAAATGGCAATATAGTTTGGTGGTCTAAAACGTTCCCCCTACAGCTTCCCAAGTCTCATACGCCTATATTTTTAAATTGATAATCTTTTAATAATAATAATTGTAAGATCATGGTATTGAACAAACCCCAAGTACCATGTCTAACACAATCCTGGTATTTTAAAATATTAATAAATGTGTGTGTATATATATAAACACACACACACATTTTATCCTTCCGTTTTTACTGTAATTTCAGATCTATTTACAATCTGCTTAGCTGTTTGGACCGAAAAAATGCCAGGGTTAATTTTTTGTCCCAGTCCAGCCCTGAGCAGCACAACTGCTTAGAAAATGTTTCTTGAGCAGCAACTCAGCATATTATACTGATTTCTGAAGGATCATGTGACACTGAAGACTGGAGTAATGATGCTGAAAATTCAGCTTTGCATCACAGGAATAAATTACATTTTAAAATCTCAAAATAGAAAAATTGTATTTTTCAATACAATTGTACAATATAATTTTTTACTGTATTTTTGATCAACAAATTGCAGCCTGGGTGTGAATAAGAATCTTCTTTCAAAAATATTTAAAACTTTAAAACATTTAAATGGTAGCGTATTATATGCATCTACTATTATTTTTACTCCCCTTTGCAATTCCACCTTAAAATGCAGAGACTACATAATAAAGGCAATAACATTCCATATGAATAAACAATCAAAAGCAAGTCATATGAATGAGTCCTGTCCTGATGAGATTTATTTAAAAGAAATTAACAGACTCAAAACAAAACAAAAAAGTTCCATTAAAATACAACTCAAATAGCATCATTAAACACAGTCAGTTTTACATGTTTTCTTTATACTACCTGTACATTAGACTTCACAATTGCAACTATTTTCAAATAACTTAAGTAACTTGTTTTTAAAAGTGCAAATTCATAATTCATACATGGGAATTCCAAGACGTGGGTACATGGGAAAGTTCACATTTCCATTGTGCAACAAGAGAGTGAGAAACAATGAGTGAGTGAGCGAATGAGTGAGTGAGTGAGTGAGTGTAGAAACGCAGTGTCTGACTATGATTTCTGCTCTGCTTCTGTGGAGGACTGAGGCGTGCTTTCCGGCTTCACTATCTGATAGTTGATGAGATACTCTGGGTAGGCCTGGAAAACAACAACACACATTAACACAACACAGTCACACTAATTCATCACAGCCTGCAGTCTCTTTCATAAGGGTGCTGTGCATTGGACACAAACACTATCAGATGAGAACGAAACAAACCTTAAACTGAATTGAGCTGAATAATGACACGACTGTCTTCTGTAGAGCTTTTTTTTATAGCTGAATCAAATTTGTTCATAACTGCCAAATTTTGTAACATCAACACTGTTATTGTACTGAAACAACATTGAACTGACATGAATTGAATAATGACACCGTTATCTTTGTAGAGCTGCTTACATCTGAATTTAACTCGTTTCATAATTCATGAACTTTACATAGTTATTGAACCGAATCTGAATCAACACTGAACTGACTTGAGCTTAGATTGAGTTTATGATTTCTGCAATTCAGAAAAACGCAGACGGAATCCAGTCAAAAAAAATAATAATAATTTACTGTATAACGTAGACTGTCACTGAAGTTGTTAAATGTGTTAAATTTAAGTTAAATTTGGATGAGAATTTTTCGGAATCCAAAAAAAAAAAAAAAAACATTTTGAGAAAAATAAAAAAAGAATTTGGGAAAAAATAAAAATGATTTCATAGAGACCTAAGAATTTTATTTTTTGTTAAGTTTTTTTTTTTAATTAATTGTTGTTCAATTGTATAAGCCTTTTGATTTCAATTTATTAGACATGCTTTTTGATTAATTTAACCATTACAACAGAATCCATAAAAAATGATAGCGGAAAACATGTAATCTGGGAAAAATAAAACAGAATTTGGGAAAAAATAATTTCACAGGGACCTAAAAAAAATATATATATATATTTTTTTTAAATAAACTGTAGTTAAATTCATGTATTTCAAATTAATTAGACATGCTTTTTGATTACTTTAATTTAACCATTTAAAATGAAAAAAACAACAACACTATTTTAGAGATATTTAGAGAGATTTCATGAAGTTTGCATCCCTAATTCTGTTATTTTCCTGTTTATTACTGTGAAGCTGCTTTGAAACAATCTGCATTGTATAAAGTGCTTTATTAAATAAAGGCTGACCTGACTATAGCTGTAGCAGTGATGCTTTAAAACAGGATGCATTTTAAGAAGCAATTTTTCTTTTACAGCCGTACCTGTTCTCCGCGGTAGATCACGTACTCGGCGTAGGCCAGGCCGTTGACACTGGGACGGCCGATCACAGAATGATGTCCAGGGGGAGCGTGGGCCATCTTCATGGCGCTGAACTGCAGGAAGGACTTTCCCAGTGTCACACGGCAGAACAACATTTGCCTTTGGGAAATCAACACAGAGGAGAATATGAAAACCATCTAGTGCAATAACGCATAATGCACTGTTTATGCTTCATTTCTTATTGTATCAGGTGTGTTCATGTACCTGTGGCACAGGTAACAGGACCGGTCTTTGTGAGTGGGGCAGCCAGTGCCGCCTCCGATGCCATAGACATACTGGTTACTCTTAGAGGAGTTCTCTGCAAAATATATGCCAGCTCCAAACATGCCACCGATATATGCATGACGCTCATCAAATCCTTTATGGATGATGGCATTTATGAATGGAGATCCTGAAAATAACAATGGCAAAAAAGGTTCAGGATTATGATAATGAAAACTATTAAATTTAACAAAAACTACAGTATGAACAAAAAAAGCAATTCAGAGCTAAATATAGCAGCAATGGCACATTTTTAGCACATTTAATTGACAAAAAGTGTTGTTGTGCATTTCATTAATAAAACTTTAAAACTCGAGAAAATTGTAGCGCTCCAAAAAACCCCGACTGCAAGCGGCTACTCTCGTTGACTGCCGTCTGTAGCGGTGCTTCAAGTCGAATGCACCTGATAACTTGAAATTGCATCATATGACCCCTTTAAGTCTGCCAACCACTCTTTGTCTGACATGAATCAGCTGATTGTCTTTAATTGTTGACCTACTTAAAAAGGGTGACTGTTGTTTGTTAAGTGAGCCCTGAAGATAGCAATGTGCTGAAACGTTTGCTTGCTTGCTCGTGTCCATTTTTTTAATTCACATGCACTTTGCACAATGCAATTTATTAATTAAAATAGATGCTTTTGTAGACTTTTTAGTCTTGAGTGGATCAGTGTGCAGTTAGCCACCCTCTTGCTCATTAATAAAACTTTGAACTTAAACTTGCAGATTAATTTGTATAGGCAGATGCTACAGTTTGTGGGAAGAAAACTAAAACTAACAGCTTACTAATACTAAATAATTAAGAAAAAAAGCATTTTAAGCATTCCTGGATCTTGAAAGTTCACCAAGACGGCGTTTTTTGATCAAAAATACAATAAAAACAGGAATATTATGAAAAAGTTGTATGTATATATATATATATATATATATATACACTGCCGGTTGTCACATGATCCTTCAGAAATCATACTAATATGCTGAATATGCTGCTCAAGAAACATTTCTGATTATCAATGTTGTAAACAGTTGTGCTGCTTCATATTTTTGTAGAAACCATGATACATTTTTTTCAGGATTCTTTGATGAATATGAAGTTCAAAAGAATGGCATTTATTTGAAATTGAAATGCTTTGTAACTTTATAAATGTCGTTACTGCTATTTTTGATCAATTTAATGCATCTTTCTCAAATAAAAGTATGAATTTTACCTTTAATCTGTCTAGCATTTTTAAGAGAAGTATTTGCATTAGTGCCATTTCAGCACTTACCATGAAACAGCATTCGTTCATTGTGGTGGTTGTGATTCTCATCTCCGATCTCTTTCTGCCTGTGTGTGTATCGCTCTCTCAGTTTCTTATTCACCACCTTCTGGATCTGCATGACGATTTCAGTTAGATTTTGTTTAGAGCTGAACAGACATGCTAAAGATATCCATACAAATATGATGCTATCACATCTATCAAGACTAGTAGTTCCACAATTAGTTCTGGTACTATGAAAAGGTTCCCGCAGTGCGAAAGGCCCTATTATCATACAGTATGTTTTAAGTAAACCTTTTGGACCTCAATACCTATTTTAGAAGAGTTAAATATCACTAATGTTGAATGCATTTGGTGTGTTTTACCTTGAGAATATTGTATCGACTGAAAACGCCACCTGCGTTTCCTCCGTCCCTGTGCTCTCGAATTGTGCTTTGCATCTGTGACCAAAAAACAAACACTCATCACACACAGCCGAAGCAGATGGGTGTATGAAACAGCCCAGAGCTCCAAGCGTTCATGTTTGTACCTCTTCCTCAACAGACTGAAACTCTTTATCATCCACAGCCAGGTCGATCAAAACTGTGCCCTGATTGGTGCAGTGGAACGTCAGGTATGGGTTGGCACCTGTGCGTTACAGAGAACAGGATTCAAATGTAAATGAAAATATACAGGAGCAGCATTTAGGAGCAGTTTTATGAGAGAGACATTCACCTTGCTGTCCTCCCAGCAGCCTCTCGATGCCTTTGATGAGTTTGTGACGGTGTCCGTAAGCATTGATGCCGATCTCCTTGAGTTCCTCGTGACCCATATCGGCCAAGACGTCCAGAGTGATCTAATGGACACGGCATTAAAAACATGAGGAAAACTTTAAACATTGTGCCAGAAGAAATCCAGAAGTTCAAAGATGTATCAAATTTTCTCACCTGTTCTCTCTCGAAGATGTCCCTCAAATGTTCAAGCCCCAGACTCTTCAGGAATTGTGAAATGTTCATATCCAGGACAGCTACAAAGCAATACAATTTTAACAAATTAAGAATAACAAAAATATGCTGGACAAGATGACAACTGAAAAGAACATCACATTGAACAGTTGGAAAAAAATGTAGTCCGTGTAGTCTGATTCCCAAACAAATGACTCTTATGAGGTGGTTCTTTTAAGTGAATCATATTCATATAGCACGATCAGTGTAGTCTGATTCACGAATGGATGACACTAATGAGGCAGTTCTTCAATCAGTGTAGTCTGATTCCAGAATAAATGATGTGGTTCTTTTTAGTGAATCAAATTCATACAGCATGTTCAGTGTAGTCTGATTCCCGAATGAATGACTCTTATGAAGCAGCTCTTTATAAGGAATCAAAATCATACAGCGTGATCAGTGTAGTCTGATTCCCAAACAAATGACTAGTATGAGGCTGTTCTTTAGTGAATCGATCAATGTAGCCTGATTCCTGAACAAATCACTCATAATGTTCTTCATAATGAATCAAAATCATTCACAGCAATCAGTATAGTGACCGTAAACAAATGACTCTAATGAGAATGTTCTTCTAAGTGAATCAAGGCCATACACCACAATCAGTGTAGTCTGATTCATAAACAAATGATTCTTATGAGCCGGTTCTTTTAAGAGAATCAAATGTGAATCAAGCGTGATCAATGTAGCCCGATTCCTAAACAAATAACTCCGAGACCTGTTCTCTCTCGAAGATGTCCCTCAAATGTTCAAGCCCCAGACTCTTCAGGAATTGTGAAATGTTCATATCCAGGACAGCTACAAAGCAATACAATTTTAACAAATTAAGAATAACAAAAATATGCTGGACAAGATGACAACTGAAAAGAACATCACATTGAACAGTTGGAAAAAAATGTAGTCCGTGTAGTCTGATTCCCAAACAAATGACTCTTATGAGGTGGTTCTTTTAAGTGAATCATATTCATATAGCACGATCAGTGTAGTCTGATTCACGAATGGATGACACTAATGAGGCAGTTCTTCAATCAGTGTAGTCTGATTCCAGAATAAATGATGTGGTTCTTTTTAGTGAATCAAATTCATACAGCATGTTCAGTGTAGTCTGATTCCCGAATGAATGACTCTTATGAAGCAGCTCTTTATAAGGAATCAAAATCATACAGCGTGATCAGTGTAGTCTGATTCCCAAACAAATGACTAGTATGAGGCTGTTCTTTAGTGAATCGATCAATGTAGCCTGATTCCTGAACAAATCACTCATAATGTTCTTCATAATGAATCAAAATCATTCACAGCAATCAGTATAGTGACCGTAAACAAATGACTCTAATGAGAATGTTCTTCTAAGTGAATCAAGGCCATACACCACAATCAGTGTAGTCTGATTCATAAACAAATGATTCTTATGAGCCGGTTCTTTTAAGAGAATCAAAGCCACACAGCGTGATCAATGTAGCCCGATTCCTAAACAAATAACTCCGAGACGGTTCTTTTGTTTCTCACCATCTCCTTCCTTGCGCTCAGTTCCGGAGGCCCCATCAGCGGGTCCCGTAGCCCCTCCACTGGCCCCGTCGCAGAGGGGCCCTGCCAGGTTATCGATGCTGGAGGCTGCGGAGAGGCAGGAGGGTGTGGAGGCGGGTGATATGAGAGCGGCACTGAGCACGGTGGCCTGCGGTTTGAAACAGCTGGGCAGGGCATCAGGGGGCATCGCGTCCATCAGCAGCGCACGGATGTCATCAGCCTGTTAAAACACAAATAGCAGATGAATGACAATGAACTTCATACTACAATCAACACAGAACCAATTTAACCAATAATACTACAGCCTAAGTTTCCACAATTCAAAGCTCAATGGATATAATTAAATCGCTATATTTTTTAATTAATTATTTCAGAAACACGTCATATGCTGAAGTTAAAAGTACTGCAAAATAATTCATTTTCAGACTTTTTCAACATTTTCATTGCAATGCTATAAATTTTATCTTCTGAGATCAATCTCTTATTTTAGCCTACTGTGTCAGAATTTCTAAGGCCTCTTAATTATCAACATGAAAAACCTGTTCTATATAATCTTATAGTTCATACTATCTTAGCAAGTAAAAAGCCCTTTAGTATAACTGTAAAAACAAACCCCCTTCAGGTTGTGATTCATGTCTTTTTGCTGTAAAATGTTCATTTTTATAAAGTAATTTAATACGAATATTTATAAAGTTGATTATCCATACATCATTTTTTAGAAAAACCGTATCAGACTTTTAAGGAACATTTATTTATCCATCTCTCAATAATCATTGCATTGCATTACGTTTTGTCTCACAAAAAAAAAAAAAAAAATTCTACAGAGCTTTAATCACACTTTAATTTTACTAAGACATATTATTGGGAGATATAGAGTGATGACTGACATTTATATGCATTTTATGTAAGTAGTCTGTTATACTTTTATAAAAATCTCATTGATTTATATCACAAGCTATCAGAAATTTAATCTTACTTTCTGGCCATATAAAGATCAGCATCTGCATCAAATTACATATTTTTGCTCCGTTTGAGCCTCTGAATAAAACCGAGGTGTTTTTTCCTCCTTAATTTTCTCACTATATCATGCTATATAAGCCATAAAAGCCTGTTGTTTCAAATACTCAACAAAAAGCACATACACAAACTTTATTTTTTTTATATTTTGTCTAAAGGCTCAAACTTAAGAAAAAAAAAGAAGAAGTTTTTTTTTACTATTATTTCATATGTCAGGATTAAATTTAAGTCAGCTTCTATCTTTTCTTAACTACAGTGTTATCAGCTGCTGTGGTGTTGTTTACCGTGGCCAGGTCCAGAGCCGTCTGTCCCTCCTGGTTCTTCATGGTGGGGTCAGCACCGTGTGCCAGCAGCAGTGCACACAGCTGTGTGCGGCCCTTCTGCGCAGCTTCATGCAGCGGTGTGAACGCCCACTTATCTGTCGCATTCACGCATGTGTTAAACTTGATCAGGAGGGCGGCGATATCCACATGCTGGACAGAACGAGAGAAGGCAATTACAGAAGCATTATTAATGACAAAATATGAAGCAGTCTGAATATGAACTGTTTTCAACACTTATAACGAACAGCAATGTTTCTTGAGCAGCAAATCAGCATATTAGAAAGATGTCTGAAGGATCATGTGACACTGAAAACTGGAGTAATGATGCTGAAAATTCAGTTTTGCATCACAGGAATAAATTACATTTTAAATATACACGCATAGAAAACAGTTATTTTAAGTTGTAATTATATTTCATAATATTATTGTATTTTGACCAAATAAATGCAGGTTTGGCGAGCATAAGAGACCTTTCAAAAATATTTTTAAAAAATCTTACCAACCCCAAACATTTGAACAGCAGTGTATAATTCTCTTGAATCCCTTCTGATTTGTAATGTTCTATTTTACAAAACCCATCCTAAGACCTTTAACCTTGCAGCATTCCCTGTCCTCTCACCCCATATGAAGCAGCGTTATGCAGAGGGATCAGTCCTCCTTTATCCTGAGCGTTCACATCTGCTCCGTGCTCCAGGAGATACTCGGCCACCTCCAGGTTATTGTAACCAGCTGATCAAAAACAAATGAATTCATCATTAAACCACCAGACAGATGTGATGAACGTGGATTGAATGATGAATGTGGGAATATGGCTTATGGTACGTTACCTGCAAGGTGTAGTGGAGTGGAGTTCCTGCCCTGTGTGTCTCTGCAGTTGATATTCTCAGGGCTGCAGAGTTTCTGCACGCGGGCCAAACAGCCCTTCTTGGCGGCATCCAGCAGGGCGGCATCTCCACGCAGAAGGTCCTGGATGTCTGTGTCTCCGTCTTTCACCATGTCCAGAGCAGTGTTGCCATCACGGTTCTTCTTAGACGGGTCTGCGCCGTGCTAAAGGGAGAGTAGAGATGTTATCACAAAAGGGCTGTGTTACACTCTTAATAATAATCATCATTAATCCTACATTAATTACATTTAAGACTGCAAAAATTAGATTCAGGAATGCATTGTTTTGGGCTAAACATTGATGCTAAAGTCACAATTTCTCCTTTAACATGAACTTACAGAGAGAGAAAAAAAATAGCTTGTAAAGTAGCACGTAAAATGACGCAGGATTAACTGGATTTAATTGAACTTGTTAAATAATCTTTAAAATAAATTTAAATAATTTAATCTTATTATTTGTTATTTTTAGGTCATGGTTTGTTTGTTTGTTTTTATTATATGAATAATAATAATAATAATAATAATAAATGTAAAATAATATTTATAGATATTTAAAAATTCATATAAAAATATTATAATATTAAAAGAATTTATATACTCCAAAATTTTTCACTTTAGGATTTTGGCCCAATGTATCTAGAATTTCAGACAAGAATTTTAATTTTGAAAAAATTAAAAAATAAAGAAAGAAATTTCAATATAGTAAAATAAATGTAAACATCAATCTCAATAATTAAATCTCTCAGATAGAATTATTATTTAGAATTATTTTTAGGTCACTGTTTTATTTGAACATCAATAATAATAATAACAATAAATAATAATAATAAAAATAATTATAGTTAAATAATATAATATTTACAAATATGTAATTTATTTAAATTGTATAATATTTATAGATATTTAAATATTCATATAAAATATTATAATATTTAAAGAGTTTATAAATGCCAACATTTTTCACTTTAGGATTTTGGCCCAATGTATCTAGAATTTCAGACAAGAATTTAAATGTTGGAGGGGAAAAAAATCTATATAGTAAACAAATGTAAATCTCAATCTCAATAATTAAATATCTCAGTTATAATTATTATTTAGAATTATTTTTAGGTCACTGTTTTATTCGAACTTCAATAATAATAATAACAATAAATAATAATAATAATAATAATAATAGTTAAATTATATAATATTTACAAATATGTAATTTATAATATATTAAAATAGTATAATATTTATAGAATTTTTATGAATTCCAAAAAGTTTAACTTTTTACTTTTGGATTTCAGCCCAATGTATCTAAAAATCTAAATTTTGGTGCATTAATAAACGATCAGTGCATAATTATAACTCGTGATAACACTAAACATCATTAATATTATATGAAATTCCCACACAATCATGACATTCATAATTATCCCAACATGTGCATGATTTCTCCATCTGAAGTATCGAACCTTGAGCAGTAGTTTGCAGATCTCATATTTGCCCTTGGCTGCAGCCTCATGTAGTGGTGTGAACTTCCAAAGGTCCGCCACGTTCACAGACGCTCCATGTCTCACCAGCAACTCTGTCACCTCGTAGTGACCGTATGAACACGCGTTGTGCAAAGGAACCAGACCACTGATAAAGAGAAAGAAAGAGAACAAGTGCAAGTCAGATAATTACGACACAGCTCAATGGTAGTCACCCTAATTGAGATGATGACCGCACCCTTTATCTTTAGCGTGCACGTCGGCCCCATGATGCAACAGGTATTCCACGACGGCCACACGGTTGTACCCTGCAGCAAAATGCAGCGGGGTGGAGTGACGGCCCTCCAGATCACGACAGTTCACGTTCTGAGGGGAGCACAGTTGCTACGGAAGACACACAAACAAATTGCCATCAAATAAATAAATATTTATTGATTTCCTGATTGATTTTAAATCTTTAGAACAGATTAAGTCCCTTTTAATGTATCTTATCATCATTAAATGTCCTATTTTGTCACACTGCAAAAGTGAAACAGATTTGGACCACGTTGACTTTAAACTCGCTAAACTCTGAAACTGTTATTTACCTTGACTGTGTCAAGGTCTCCGGCTTTAGCAGACTCGAGAAAGCGGTAATCCACGTCTGAATTACGAGGAGGAATGTTCTCTGGAGAAATAAATGCAGATAAATTCAGGACATCGTGTTGTTAGGATAAATGGACAGTTAATTCTTTAACCATACTGTAATAAGACTCAAGATTAATAGATGTAAAACTGTAATAGTACCATTGAGTATTTGCTGTATGGCTTCATTGCCCATCTGTGACGCAGTGAAGCCCTGCAGTGAAATGATTGATGGGTCAGCACCGTAACTTAGCAATAGTCTGCAAGTCTGGATGTGACCGGCGAGGGCCGCCCTGTGCAAGGCTGTCTGTCCCAGTGTGTCCACAGCATTCACCTAAACACACACGCAAAGGTTTATTCTAAAGAGAACTTAGGGTTTAGTAAGAAGATCAAGAATATGAAGCCGAACAACTGTTTTCAACATTGATAATAAGGAATGTTTCTTGAGCAGCAAATCAGCATATTAAAATGATTTCTGAAGGATAGGGCTGTCGCAATAACCGCAATATCGCAATACCGCGCTATTGACGAGCAAACCGCAGAGGAATGCAAGAACCGCAGCAACCGCGATTTTTGCGCGTTTTATTTTTTCGTAAGGTTATGCCCTTCTCGTTTTACACTTCATGCATGTGGACTGAATATTAAACAAGTTAGTAATGATAACATAATGTGTTCCATGCTGATTTGTACAACACTTCCCATAACACCCGATGTACTTGCTACATCTTTAGAAGAATGGCATCTACGCTTATATTAGTCTGTTTCTTTCTTATTCCGAGGTAGGGCTGTCACGATAACCGCAATATCGCAATACTCGTTTGCTCGTCCTATTGACGAGCAAACCACAGAGGAATGCAAGAACCGCAGAGGAATGCAAGAACCGCAGCAACCGCGATTTTTGCGTGTTTTATTTTTTCGTAAGGTTATGCCCTTCTCGTTTTACACTTCATGCATGTGGACTGAATATTAAACAAGTTAGTAATGATAACAATGTGTACCATGCTGATTTGTACAGAGGCTCCATAGATTTGCACTTAACAAGCCTAAACAGACAGTGAATGAGAGAGAGAGAGAGATCGACTGAGCGCGTGCGATTACTTGCGTCATGTCACTTAATGTTAAAACTGCTGCTGGTCTGTCCTCCAGGCCGAGTCATATATATTTGTGAAAATAGGTTATCATGTCCAAGGAAAGCGAAATCTTTGTCTTAGCATCGACGCATAGCTGGTCAGCTGAGCCTTCTAAAGTGGCGCTCAAAGTTAAAATGATTTCAACAGCATGTTTCATTACGTCTCTTTGAATGAATGAATCAGCGTTTTTGAACGTGTAGTTGAATGACAGTCCCTTTCCACCACCTTGTGGCGCAACACTGTAACTGCAGACTGACAGCCCGTTTAGAACGCGCACAGGTGGAAATATCAATAGAAAGTCTCTTGTCCAGTCAGATTAGAAAATCAGATTACAACTAGGCTAACTGCTATACATATAGGCTATTTTTGAAAAAGGCTCATTTTTCAACTCCCCTAGAGTTATAGGAACTATACTCTCATTCGGCAGCAAAGTTCCTTGATTATTACATCGGAATGAGAGTATAGTTCCTAGCCATATCGGCCTAGAAAATCGCAACTTTTCATTTTC